GTTTTTTCGAATTCTTCCCAGGATTTGTTGTTGGGGTTAACGCCTTTTGGGGTGATTTGGTTTTGATTTTGTTTTGGAGCAGCTGAAGTTTTGGAATATTGTTGCGTTTGAATTGTTACGCTTTGGTGGATGTAATTTTTATGGTTTTGCTGTTACGAATATTTATGATTTTTCCGGAATGGTGGCTTTGGTTATGATGTTGGTTGCGTTCTTTATGACTCTATTGTGGGTCTGTTGCAATTTCCATGGCCCCAATGTTTGATCCGTTTGGCTGCAGAAATTTCTAGGAAAATGTGTTTGTGCTCTGTTTGGCAAAAACCATTTTTTAGAAAAGTGTTTTTTTCCAAAAGCACTTTTTTAGAATCACTTTTCCAAAAAAATCACTTCTCTCTCTCTCTCTCTCTCTCTCGGAATGACCTAGAACAGATGCTGCCGGGTTTGCCGAGGTCGGAAAGTGATGTCGGGAGCTGGCGGCGGAATATTTCGTTACCCTCCTGACGTACCCGATGATGATAATTAACTGAGGGTGTCGGGATCGACCAAAAACCAATTTTTAACCATTTAAAAATTGCTTGCTCTGTTGTTGATTTTCCTTTACAGGTTCGAAAAAGTTGAAGCACGAAGAATCAGACTCAAAGACATTTTTAGGACAATTAGGAATTTTAGCACTTTTTGTAATAATAATTTTTTTGTAATATTGTAATACTGTAATAATATAGAATTTAAATGAATAGATTCAAATTATTTTTTCAATCACATTTCTTCGATTACAATCTCTGATAAAAATCTCCAAATAACTCAATTGATAAAACTTAAACGAATAAATTTAATTAATTAAATCTATCCGACTAAATTTCTCCAGATAAACTCAAACAACTAAATTTCTTTAATTAAATTTAATCGATTAGGCTCTTCCAAATAAATTCTTTTGAATAAGTTTATCTGACTATGTTGTGACATTCCAACTCTGAATTCGACAACTAAATCATTTTGCACGATTTCAATCCGACGTAACTGAGTTCAAATAGATTCTCTTGCGAATTAATTCGTACCCGATATTAACGGTGAATATGGCCTCGAACGAATAAGCAGAACGAATTGTCTCCCGTATTGAAAATTCGAACTGCATCTCGACTACTTTAACCCGGTAACCTGAACCAGCTCACCTAACAATCATGACCAAACCAAAAGATATTCATTGTAATTTCAAATGCGCACCGAAACTCCACTGTTCTTTTGAAATCGACCGTCGACCAGCAGAAAGTAAGAAAACATGCGTCTGTTAAAATAAATTCTCCAAAGCACATTCTCGCTTTGATTTAACCCGAACCCACTGATATCTCAACACATTCAGCTCCAGATGACGTATTACTCAAACAACACTTCAACCCAACTGACGACTAAATCTCGGCTCTTGAATAAAATGTGCTATGTTACGAGACGTCTGACGTCAATATTGTCGCAAAATTCAGCTCTTCACCAAATAAGTCACCTGACTCAGAGATGGAAACCCTGGTCGCTCGAGGGATTCTTGAAGACGAATCAGCTTCATAAATTGTCAGCAGGATGCAACTTAATGACCCTTTTGCCCTTCATAAGTTAAAGAGCGCACCGTGTGAGTTATCCTTCAAAAACCAATAGACTGAACAAACTCGTTAGTGGTTAGTTTACAATGCAATACATAATAGGGTGCAAATGCGAAATGAACCGACTAACTTAAGGGTAAAATTTGGGGTATGACAGGTATATTATAACAAAATTAAATTGCAGCCTATAAAATATTAATCCAACACAATATTGTTGAAACCCTAAAACATCATAAATAATTTAAAGACTAAAGGACAAAAAGTTTAATAGTTTTAAAATTATGAAGAGTTACACAAACTCAGTAAGATATTATATCATAGTCATAAGAGTGAGTAGAATGGATATATGAGTATGGCATATGCATGAGTATTAAAAGTCAAAAGCATTATCAAATGCTAAAACTGTCATTAGGCTGCAAGGTTATCGGTATAATGGCCTAAGATATCTTATATATACACGCCGGTATACAAGACAATCATATCAAGAAATAGGAACCGTGATCTGACATGTAATGATGTAACATAAACAAGAATGGTATGATAAGAATCATTATTGGTGCATTAAGTAATTGGACAGTTAGTGATCACAATTTTCTCACAAGTTCTAGTGTGTTATTTGCATCTAAATTAATAAAAATGACACCACATAAATAATTGAACAATACGCGAAAAGAAAGTGGATTGTCCTACGATCATCTTAAATCATAATTATATATTAACAACAAACAATTGAGTTTTAACTCATATAACCAGGCTCTGATACTATATGTAAGCGGAAAAAAAATTTCTATCAATTATATGAAATTAGAACATTAATACTTACTTGTTGAAGTCATGATTCAGAATTCAAAAAGATGAATGACCGAATCTTCCTTTATATCTCACACTCCCGTTCACAACTCTTAATAGGGCAAGTTGTAGAGTCGTCAGTTATGTTTCTGATTCTTATTGTGATTACAGAGGGGGTCTAGCTATATAATATATATAACCCTAGTCCTTATCCATTATGAGCTCAAGGTTAAAGCCTGCACTTTTACCCATACCAATCAGGTTTCAGATACTCAGCCATTAGTTAAAAAGGAACATTTAATTAATAAAAAGACTTATATATCCACCCCATCAGAATCACGATTAATTTGTTTTTCACAAACTAAACTACAATTGATTGTAGCCCATAGAAATTTAGATAAATCTAACAACTATCTGTATGGCTTATTTTTATGTGCATATTTTGGTTTTATGTGTGCCATACATATTGTTTTAATGTAAACAATATTTTGGCTTATACTATGATATTGTCCATAAACATGTGACATCTCCATAAGAAAAACATATTATAATTTCAAACAAAAATAGTGCCGTCGTCAAGGATAAAAATGTTATTAGTTAATTTAATTCGATATATACTTAAGTAAAATGCTTAAGTCTTTCAATTGAGTTTTGGGTGTACGGAAAAGGTTAACGATTTAAACCAGTTTTTGATATAGGTTTGTCATTTCTATTAAAAAAAAATTGACAAACTTCGACACATGCACTTCATTGATTAATTTTATTTATTTATATATGGTGAATGGTTAAGTATCTTACTTAGAACAGTTTTTTAGTGCAGTCTTCTGGTCACCACTCTTATGATGTATTGACTTCTTACTTAGAACAGTTTTTTAGTGCAGTCTTCTGGTCACTAGTCTTATGATGTATTTAAATTTATTTTATCATAGAGATGGTTTTGACATGATAAAATAAAGAAGAGAGTTAATTTGGTTACTTGTGGTACACGATATTGAGATTAATTAAAGAGTTTGTTCACACTAGTTTTAGTTAATCACTGAATGCTCATGGACTAGCGCTTGGGCATTCTAGGAGTATATTGGGTTTGGAGTCAACTTGTTATGTACCAACAACTTGTTCTGGCCCAATAAGTTATTCATCTTGTGGGTCGGGCCCAGTTGCAGGTGGATCTAAACCAAAGAAAAAAACTGATCAATGACATATATAACAGTATCAAGATTCCATTCTCACCCTCTTACTTCTCCTAGCTTATCCTCTCTAATTGTATCCACCCATCTCATCCTCTTCCTCCTATCAACATTTCTCCCTCATCACAACGCTTCCTTGTCCTTCCGCAGCAGATTCTTCATCAAGATTTTCTGGTTGTTCTGTACTATGTTGTGAATCCATCAATGATTCAGACGTAAATAAGGTTAATTCTCGTGTGAGGCAAAAGAAGGCTGGCGTTCCTTCAAAGATTTGGCATTCAATTAAGGAACTAGCCATTGAGGGTGACAAAGACGACGAAGTTTTCGAAGGTATTATTCGAGACATGGAAAGCAGAGACAAAAGAGCTTTTAACAAAGTGAGGGAGGAAGCTATCTTTGTCCCATGAATGTGTTAACCTATAACATTCGTGGGTGTGGGAATTCTATCAAAAGAAATAGAATTAAAAAGTTTCTTATCTCTGCTAACATCGATATCTGCTTCATTCAAGATCTAAAAAGGAATAAATGGACAAAAAACTGGTTTCTTCCCTCTGGTGTGACAAGAATTTTAATTGGTCAGCTTCTAATTCTGTTGGTTTATCTGGTGGTATACTTACAATATGGAAGAATGGCATCATTTGCCCTATCTCAAGCTTTAGAGGTAAGGGATTCTTGGGAATTAATGCTACATGGAATGGACTCAACTTTTATTTTTTTCAATGTTTACTCGCCCTGCAGTCTCCACGACAAAAGGATTCTTTGGTCTTCACTATTACACGTAAAATCTTCTGCATCACCTGAGGAATGACTTATTTGCGGAGACTTCAATGCAGTAAAAAATAAGGAAGAAAGACATGGTAAAGGGGCGGGTTATGCTACTGAGATGGATGATTTTTTTCTCATTCATAGATGTTATGCGCTTGGACGATCTTCCTGCTGTTGGCAATTATTTTACTTGGTTCAATAGCAGCGGGAGTTGTCGTAGTAGATTAGACAGATTCCTATTGTCTGATGGTTTAATTAACAAATGGAGAATTACCGCTTAATATGTTGGGGATAGAGACGTCTCCAATCATAGGCTTGTATGGATCAAAGCCAATCATGTTAACTAGGGGCCCAAGCCATTCAAAGTCTTTAGCTGTTGGTATAATCTTCCATATTTTCACGACTTCGTCAAGTCTGTTTGGAATTCTTCTGCTATTAGTGGTAATGCAACAAATGTATTATCAGAAATTTAAGACTCCTTAGAACGCATCTCCGATGGTGGAATACGAATGTTTTTGGGTTGATTGACTTAAAAATTGAAGTCGAGGTTTCTAAAGTTAATAAAATTAAAGATGAGGTAGCTTGGTCTGGAGAAAATATCTCTGATAGTGACCTTAACATTAAAGCTACTGCATGAGAAGCTTTTTGGAACTACTCTCTGGTGAAGAAAAGCATGATTATACAAAAGGCGAGAACAAGTTGGGTTCGTGAAGGTGATTTAAACACAAAATACTTTCATTCTCTGCTGAAATGTAGAACCAGACGCAATGCCATTACTGCTTTAAAATCTGGTAACATTATCTTAGACGACGTCAACTCTATCAAATATGCTTTTAAGGAATACTTTGCCAATATGTTCTCGAAACTTGGTTTGCCTCGTCCTAGAATGAACTTTGATGACCTGACCAAACTCTCGCCTACTGAAAGTGCATATCTGGAGAAACCTTTTGGTGATGACGAGGTTCGTTCTGTTGTCTTCAATTGCAATGGCAACAAAAGTCCGGGACCCGATGGCTTTAACTTTGATTTCTTAAAATCATGTTGGGATTTTGTGGGAACTGATGTCTCAAACTGTATCAAGGAGTTCCATTCCACTACTATTCTACCTAAAGCCTTGATATCTTCCTTTATTGCTTAAGTTCCAAAGATTGATAATCTGTAGGGGTTTGGCGACTTCAGGCCTATATGTCTTATTGGATCCATTTACAAGATTATATCAAAAAAATTAGCTAGCCGTTTGAGTGTCTACATTAGGAAACTTGTTTCTAAGTCACAGACCTAGTAGACATATCCTTGATGGTGTGGTTATCGCTAATGAAGTAAGCAATTATGCAAAACGAAACAAATCAAGTTGCATGCTATTTAAGATTGACTTTGCTAAGGCTTTCGACTGTGTTGATCGGAACTTTTTGTAGCAAATGCTTCAAGCTATCAGACTGTTGTAATTTAGTGTTACTAAAGATATATTTTGTAGTATTATTTTTCTTTTCCTCATTTGTTACTTGTTCTTGCATCGATCATAATCCATAACAACCTCCTTCTGTGTGTATATATTTTATGTTTAACAAATTAAATAAATAATGAGATTTACTTCCAAGTCTATTTTATGCAGTAATTCCTTATTATAATCAAAAGTAAATACATATCCGTATGATATAACCATACAGGGCCATCAACAAAAAAATGTCACAACAAATTATGTTTAGAAATTAGAAAAGTCTCCAAATAACTCAATTTTAGTATCGGGCCAAATTACAACTTTATAACACCCATCTTCAGTGCATATGTTCTAGCACTTACAATAGACGTGTCACTAATTCTATCAGTCATTTTTGTTCATTAATCCACCAGTTGATGTTGTAAAAGCTAGATTCTTATTTCTGTCAAATATTTCCAACGGAACATGTTTCAACTTTCAATTTTAATAGATTTTAGCTATATCCATAAAGGTGAACATCACAGAAAAACCACTACAACTAAGCCCAATTAAATAATATTATCAAGCATAATTACACACCAAATGCTCTATCTTCATAACATATAAAACATCATTTCTTATGAATAATTTCCTATTATGAATTCAAATTTTAGATACAATCATTCATGCAAACTAACATCCAAAACATGTGTAACGCCCTGTAATATATATATATATATATATATATATATATATATATATATATATATATATATATATATATATATATATATATATATATATATATATATATATATATATATATATATATATATATATATATATATATATATATATATATATATATATATATATATATATATATATATATATATATATATATATATATATATATATATATATATATATAGAGAGAGAGAGAGAGAGAGAGAGAGAGAGAGAGAGAGAGAGAGAGAGAGAGAGAGAGAGAGAGAGAGAGAGAGAGAGAGAGAGAGAGAGAGAGAGAGAGAGAGAGAGAGAGAGAGAGAGAGAGAGAGAGAGAGAATAATATCATACAAGTGTTATTATCTAGTACTAACACCATCATAAGTGCCTATTGGTATAATTTACATACTTGGTCATTCTACAAAACATAAAAGAACAATAATGGTACAAGATATGGAAAGTTCCAAACAATAAAAATCTAAGATCTAAGTACAATATCCATCTTTGTACAAGATACATAATACACATCAGAAAACATAATCTAAACTTGTATTGAAACATCCATGCATAGCTCCACTTATAAACTAAACCTGTAAACAATACATGAAAAATAACAACAATAATGGGGTGAGGTAATAATCTCATTGAATTCCACTATCTTATGGGTTTGCTCTGCTCTACAGGGTTCTAATCAAATTCTACCTCAAGTCAAAAGGGAAAGGGGATAAGACTTAAGTTCACAAAGCTTGCAATGTATGGAAATTTGACTCTTGAGTTAATCAACTCAAGCAATCATAATCGGGCATGTAGGCTGTAACACAAGGGTAATTAAACCAAATCGATCGCGAAGATTTATCCGTCAAATATGGCCAACGGTAGTCCTAGCCTCCAATGAATGGGTCACACCAACCATCAGATATGACTAACCGTATTCTTAGCCTCCACTACATAGAACATATACCACCAGATATGGGCAACAACAGTACTCAGCCTCTACTAGGTAGAATACATGATCTACCAGATATGACCACCAGTACCCCTAGCCTCCACTACGTGGTGATAACCAATCCATCTCAGATATGGTCAAAGGTAGTCCTAGCCTCTCCTAATGGATACATCATCCATTATATATGGCCAACGACACTCTTAGCCTCCACTGAATGGATTACACTTAATAGAGTTACAGTCATTCATCAGTTACCATATGATCATATTCTAGAGACTTCATCTATGATACTGGAATCTAAGGATGAGAGGGTGTACTTGTAAGGCACTCCAATGCTAAAGTAAGAATCAAGAGATGAGAAGGCAAGTACAAAGTAAGAATGTTTTAGGAGTATGTATGGTCGACGCCTGTTACTAAGACATGTTCGTTTCGTGATGCTCGAGGATACATGTGCGCGAGGAACCTGAAACGTTGTTCTGCGTGTCCAGCGAGCGGGGAGTCCAACAGTTGATGGGACTTAAAGAGATGGAGTGCCACGCTTGCATCGAGCCACGTGTCGCAGTTAATGCGTAATGATGGCTATCCTAGGGTTATAATGATGCCCATGCACCACGCATGCCCGTGCACATGCTTCTGAATCGTCTATAAATAGAAGGAGGAATTGTTCATTTTCACTTTTTTCTTATCTCTCTCCTTCTGCTGTCGTCGTTGTCTCCGTTGTATACCACGGCAACACAGTCATACGAGCACCAACCAAGCCTCACCGACCATAATTCCTTTTGTTAGAACACAGATTGGTTCTTAATAATAACTCTTTGTTTTGATGATAACTGTTAGGAAATTTTATATTTAAGAATTATATACTCTAAAATTTGTTTGAGAGTTTTACTGCAGATTGAAATGAAATTAACTCTCTAGAAGCAAATCTGTATTGTATACAAGAAGTTATCCTGATTCTAAAGCGCCAGATGCATCCTGCAGAAGATTTTGATTGCTGTTTACAGAAGATCCTGAGCGTAGTCTCCAGAAGGATCTGAAGCAAGAAGCTTCAGAAGATTCTGAAGCAGAAGCATCTGAAGCTAGTCAGAAGCATCTGAAGCTTAGAAGAATATTGTATGAAGAGTTTCTCAAAGCATAATTTCTACAGAAGTTTCTAAAAGTACTAACGCTGCCAAGTACTGAAGATCTGTGTCAAATATGCTCTGATGATCAACACGCTGAAAGCACACATGCTGCAGAAGACTCTGATACAGAAAAGTTCTGAACATCATTAGAAGACTCTGACTCTATCAGACTCTGAAGAACTTGCTGAAAACTGAAGAAGAAATATTCAAAGATTATATCCGTTGGAGTAAATTAAACGTCTCTTTCCTCATTTGTGCTAGACACGATAACACAGACAAAAATGATTTTTCTGTGCTATCTACTTCTAGGAAAGGTCACTTGATGTGAAGACAAAAAGGCTCAGACCTTTTTGGGACTCTCTTTTCAATGCTCAGCTTCCTTGGATCAGCTGCCTATAAAAGGAAGACTCCACCAAATTCTTCAGTTACACAATTTGCTGAAAAGAAATCATATTATTCTAGCTCTCATTCTTTCATATTCTTCTTAGAATTTCTTGTACTTTAACTTAAGAGAAAAATCACTGTTGTGATAAAAATTTTATAGAAGCATTAATACTCTTGTATTTAATTTACATTGATTGTAAAGGTTTTTCCTTAAGAGGATTCAGTTGGAATCAGTAGCTCTTGAGAAGACTAAGAACAGTTGTTCTTAGGTGTTACTATTGTAATCAGTTTGATTAAATAGTGGATTAAGTCCTTGTTGAGAAAGGCAAATCACTCTAGGAAGGGTGGACTGGAGTAGTTGTTTTAAACGAACCAGGATAAAAATAATTGTGTCATTATTTTTAAAGTCTTAATCTTTCATACTTATTCATCCCCCCTTCTAAGTATTATCTCACCTTCAGTTGGCATCAGAGCTCCGGTTCTGTGTGTGCTACCACTTAACAGTGTCAGTAAAGATCCAGAGAGAAATACTTTGATATATATTTATTTGTTACAATGGCTGATAATTCAATATCCAATATTAACAATAAATATGAAGAAAGGGACAGGATCAACACCAAACCCCCAATGTTTGATGGGGAGAAATTTGACTACTGGAAAGACAGAATTGAGAGTTTTTTCCTAGGATATGATGCTGATCTATGGGATCTAGTCATAGATGGATATGTCCATCCCACAGATGGGAATGACAAGAAGATTGACAGAAAATCTATGACAGATGCTCAGAAGAAAGATTTTAGAAATCATCACAAAGCCAGGACTATATTATTGAATGCAATTTCACATACTGAGTATGAAAAAATTACAAACAGGGAAACTGCTTTTGATATGTTTGAATCCCTAAAAATGAATCATGAGGGAAATTCTCAAGTTAAGGAGACAAAAGCTCTGGCTCTGATCCAGAAGTATGAGGCCTTCAAAATGGAAGACTCTGAATCTGTTGAAGCCATGTTCTCCAGATTTCAGATACTCACTGCTGGGCTGAAAGTTCTGGACAAGGGATACTCTACATCAGATCATGTAAAGAAAATCATCAGAAGTCTGCCTACCAGATGGAGACCAATGGTGACTGCCTTGAAGATGGCTAAAGATCTGAACAAGATCTCTCTAGAAGAACTCATCAGCTCACTGAGGAGCCATGAGATTGAGCTTGAGGAAGATGAACCTCAGAAGAAAGAAAAAGGTAAATCTGTTGCATTAAAATCTAACAAAACAGCTAAAGCTTTGCAAGTCATTCAAGAAAGCTCTGAAGAATCTTCTTCTGAAGAAGAAGATGAGTTATCCATGCTGTCCAGAAGGATCAACAGACTCTGGAAGCACAAAGGAAAGAAGTTCAACAACTTCAGAAGATCTGATAATAGAAAGGAATCTTCTGGACACAGAAGATCTGCCAAGAAAGAAGTTGTGTGCTATGAGTGCAAAGAACCTGGGCACTACAAGAATGATTGCCCCAAACTTCAGAAAGAAAAACCCAAGAAGAA